ACTTAGCAGATTTGTAGAGGTGTTTAAAGAAAGGATCAGAATATCATCTGCTTTTTGTAATTGGTCTGTTTTATCAGTGAAAGTTGCCTGGTTTACGTCTGCAACTAACCATTGCTTCAATCATCAAATAATCCATCAGTTATTGAAAATGATAATTGACTTTTCGGATTATGAATCACACACTTACTAAATGGCTCTTGTTTAGCCATCAGCTTTTCAGTTTAGCTTGAGGTTGTTTTGGGCTTGTGCTAACTAACCATGCGAATATTTGAGGTGTTCGTTGTGTACTTCTGTAATGTGGTCTAAATGTGGTTTTGTGGTTTATGTCAGCGGCTGCCTCATCACTGCAGTTCCCCTCAGATTTATCGTGAAATGTTTCTGGAGCAGCACACTCTCATGTGCACTGTGAATGACAGGACACAGAGAGCAGTAGTAACTCTATGGATGTGTTGATGGGCCAATGACTGGTGCACCGTGGTGGCGAAGCGTCTTTTTTGACGGTGGGCCTGTGGGTCGGCATATGCCTTCCACAGCCTTAGGGCAGCGCTAAGGTAGCATCCTGTACGGCGAGATGCATGGCTCGCCGGAGAACGAGGTGCTCGCTGGCTGCCATCTGTCTAACTGTCATGATTTGGTGGAATATTCAGTGATGCTGTTGAGCTCTCTTGCCATTACGTTTCCAACCATCACAGTAACTGTTACTGTATTTTAAAAAACATTTTAGGCCTGGTGGGTGGGTGAACTCAGGCCTGGCAGGCTGCCACAATACACTGGAAACCCTGGTTGTTATTTTTGGTTCATCCATTGTTCTCCTGTGCTGAGGTCAGATGTGGTCCATCGGTCCTCAGACTATGAAAAGGTGCTACATGCTTTTGTATAATTACACACTTCACTCCAGTAAGCAGGGATGCCTTTATATCAGAGTACTCCTGTTCTCAACTAATTTCGTTGTTTCTCAACTGTGTGGAATATTTGTTGCACCTCTAAATCACATGGGTTGTTTGTTATCATTAAAATGACATCATTGTTGGGGCACACCGGTAGCTCAACCGGACAAGACGGCGACCCGTGCACAGGCCACGCTTCGAGTCCAGCCAGTGGTTCATTTGCTGCTTGTCTTTCCCTGACTCCTCTCCCCACATTTCCCCCAAAAAAAGCCCCAAAAATGACCCTAAAAACTATTATCATTGTTCATGAGCCTTGTTCTTTGATTGGCTGGTAGTATTGGAAACAGTTGAAGCAGTGGCAGCTTGAAAAGGACAGAAAAAACAACCAGATTTTGAAATATAGTTGATACTATGATTATTTGTTTCCAGTGTGAGATCACACCAGTGGGAAGTGGAGACTGGCGTATTCAAACGGTGGCATTTAGCACCATGAACAAACACATAAAAAAAAAAGCGTGTTGTGGCTGCGTGGATATCAGTTTCATGCCTTTACAGTGCTTAAAGAACTTATCTGACAGCCAAATCCACATCGCAACAAGACAGGTCCGCCTCAAGGCAGCACAAATGAGTTGGATTTACATAAACTCACAGGCTTTACAATTCCTGTATTCATTCTTCTTGTTCTTAAAAACTTTGAGGTTTTACAAGTAATACACGTGGGCAGGAAAATTGTTCCATTAGATTTATTTAGAGCGCTCAGAGCTTTTTGAGCGTGAAAGTAATTCAGGAAATATGAATTCTTTTGCACGTCCTGCATTAGCGGGTGACTGTGAAAGAGATCATAAAAATCATTAGTGTAAAACCTTAAAGCTTATTATGATGTAGTGAAATGTTTGACACATTAAGCAACGGTATCTTTATGTACAACTGTGAGCTCTGATGTGCAGGAGTCTATATCTAGCTAATTATAATTATGCTGACATGGTATCTGGGAATAAATTAATAGGCCCCTGGTCCCTGAAAGTGTGGAGTACACACTTTCCTCAAGCGGATACTTTTGTTTTATATTGGTTTGCTGAACTTGTGACCTTTAACAAAGAGCAGCATTATAAATCTCGGGCAGTTTCTGGGAAAAAAAAAAAATCCTGAATATTCATAACAAACACTTGGATTAGACTGTGTAAGCAGTTGTAACTAACTTACTAAGTTGACCAAGCAGCTCTGGTATTTCCCTCATATTGGGCAAGTGAGGATCATTAACAACAGTCTAACTTTTGAGTGCTTGTGGAAAAGTAGCACTAACTCATGTCATTGTTTCTGTGATACCCAAACTAGGTCTGTGAAGCTCCTCAATCTGCCCGTCAGTCTGCGGCCCCACAAAGTGAAAGGCCTGCTGGGACAGAATATGTCCACTGCCAGCCCCTTCATCTACTCGCCTATCATCATGCATAACAGAGGAGAGGAGCGCTGTAAGAAAATAGGTGAGTCCAGTGAAGAGTTTGGTGTGTTTCATTTCTGTACAAAGACTGTTTGAAATTTAACGCAACAGAAACTCCCTGCTCTGTACTCTAGTCCAGCGGTCTTCAACCTTTTTTGCACCACGGACCGGTTTTAAGCAAGAAATTGTTCTACGGACCGGTCATTACGCACATAACAAATAATAATTGTTTTTTTTTCTATTGGAAAGTTTCATAAATAAATAAAATAAATTTTTATTGCTTAATATGTTTACTTTTTCTCCTGTCTTAGTATTAAGTCTCTCCCACTTTCCAAAGCAGCTCTCCTGAGACGTTTGTTTTTGACTGACGGCTTCGTTTAGCAGCCGGGCATAAAAACTGACAGTCAAGTGCAGGAAACGAACACAAACGGAAGTGACGGGAAGACGAGCTAGTCATGTTTCAAAATAAAACACCCTGCAGACTCCGCTGGAAATGAAAATAAACCAAAAAATGTTAGTAATCTATCTGTGCGGCCCGGTACCGGTCCGCCGCCCGGTGGTTGGGGACCGCTGCTCTAGTCCATTAAATTTAAAAAGACTGAGGTTTAAGTGCTGACTGTTCGCATCTGAAGGTATTTAAAACATCATCCAACACCTGGAGTTACAGAGTTTAACATTTACTCTGCCTTAAATTATTGGTTCGATCATCGACATCATCCCTCAATATCACCACATAACCTGTTCTAGGATAAATTTCACACTGCCGAGGTTCTGTGCGGTTCTGTGAAATCGGCACACAAAGACAGATTTAGGAGCGATAGCAGCTGGAGTAGCGGATCACTTATAATATTTACGAAACAAAGAAAATGTGAATAATACCGTCACTGATGACATGTCATCAGAGCAGAGCTGTCTTGTGACAGAAAAAAAAAAGAGAGGGAATATTTAGTCTCTAAAAGGGGTCTTTCTAAAGCAAAGTGGTCCCTGACTAATATAAAAACCAGTCAATGGGACAACAATCACTGAGATAATAGACACAGGAAAATTATACCTTATAGGCCTTGATATTATATCGATGGGGGCAGCTCTGGGTGATGCTGGTGAGAGAACGACAAAAAGGCCCTGAGGCGGCTGCTGGAGTGAGATAATTTTTGTAGCCACTACTGTAATGTCTATATTTGATGAGATTATCCTGTCGTATTTCTTTTTAAAGTCAACCATGTGAGGAGAACGACAGACTGTCTGTACGGGACTCCTTCACCTCTCCCTCTCTTGAATTACTCATGTGTGCTTCCTAAAAACAAATCTGCT